CGTGGGTTCTTGTTTCTTTCATCTGGGTTTTGTTGGACTGAACCAGTTGTTTGGGCTGAATGTCATTGATTTCTATGTGTTCTTCATTCTGGATGAATTTAATCGAACTTGTCCCTGTTTTGTTTGTTTGGTACGTGGGTTCTTGTTTCTTTCATCTGGGTTTTGTAGGGCTGAATCAGTTGTTTGGGCTGAATGTCGTTGATTTCTATGTGTTCTTCATTCTGGATGAGTTTAATCGAACTTGTCCCTGTTTTGTTTGTTTGGTACGTGGGTTCTTGTTTTTTTCATCTGGGTTTTGTTGGGCTTGAATCAGTTGTTATTGAGAGGTGTGAATTTTGTAGGACGTTAGCGGATTGAAATACGATGAGATATAAATGTTTCGACTTTCTTTGTATTTTGGTTTCTGTTCTTTTCCATTTTATCATGTTAAAGTCTCGATCTTTTTACTAATTTTGTGCTCTTTGGCCTTTTTTTTTTTGTTTTCAGTTGGTTTTTTTTGTTATTATTACTGACTTTGAACTTATGATTTTTTGTTGGGGTTGTAGAGGGATTGATTCTCTTGGGAAGAAAAGAGGGTGATACAATATGGAGGCAGGAGTTTTTTCCATGGGCTTGCAATTAGGCCCATGTATAAACCCAGAAAAATTTGCAAGAAAACCGAACAATTCGTTGCATTTCTTTCAGAAATATGGAGAGCAACCGGTTTGTTGGGCACCTGCTAAATGTCATCAGCTAGCACGAAGTTTCAGATTTTATGGACCGAAGGTTTTAAGGGTGTCGAGTTCCGAGAACGGTTCTGGTAAAAATATAAAACTTCTAATTAGTGCTTGAATTAATAGTCTTCTCTGATATCTTTATGGTGAGCTTTCTATTTTCTTTGTGTAAGATTTTGTTGACTTAGGCACATCTTAGTCATCTTGCCATCTGAAATCTGTTACCTTATATCAACATTTTGTGATCATTTTTGTGGAGAACACTAATTGTTCAAAGATTACATCTCGAACAAATTTTGGTGTTCAATATCCTATAGCTTACTGTTAAATTGTCAATGTGACGGTACTTGAGAAGAAATTAAGTTTTATTTAATGTCTATATTAGCACTGAAATATGTTGGAAATTTGACATGCATCATTAATAGTTACATATCAGTACGAAATTGAAGTGGGAAAGAGAAGTATCATGTTATTTTTTTCCTCTCTCTCTCTCTCTTATCATTTTTCGATGCATCACTACGTAAGAAGCTTTTTTTGATAGTTGTGCATGAGTCAATGACATGCAATGGTTGCATATGAGATTTATAAAGATGTCAACTTTTTCGTTTGCTCAAACCATTTCTTAGGACTTATCCATGTGCGTAGGCTTAAAAAAATTGGTACTCACCTCACTGCATTTTCTCTGAACTCTATGATTTCCTAGAGCCTACAGAAAAATAAAGACTGGTGAAATTTTTACTAAAGAAGTAAATAACCGGCCACTGATAATATCCTATTTGTTTTCTTTGTTCTTAAGCTTCCGTGCTGGAGGCTACCGAGGTTCCAGATGAATTAAAGATAATGAAGGTAAGTTGTAATGACGTTTTTTCTTCCTTTCAGCAATGTCTCCAATGAAAATTTAATCTTTTCATATTTCCCAAAGAGGTACTTTGTTTTGTCTATCTATTAATTGGTGTACTTAGAAAATTAGCCTATCCAAAGTGTTAACCGAAGACAGCTTTTTGACCCCGTCACTTGTATGTGAATGCTGTTGCAGAAAAAATCAGAAGAAGAGATCAAACCATATTTGCATGGTAGATGTATTTATCTTGTTGGTGGGTACTAATGGTAGCTGTCTTGAGTTTATGTAACTGTAGCTTAATGGCCTTTGCAATTTAACTGCTATGCTTTTTTTTTTTTTTTTTTTTTTTTTATCATTGTAATTTTGCAGGCATGATGGGGTCTGGAAAAACAACGGTTGGCAAGGTTTTGGCAGAAGCCCTTCGATATACATTTTTCGACTGGTTAGCCCCTCCAAATATTATTATCTCTGTTAATTGCAAGTGGGGAATGAATGCTAAGTTGCAATCCTAGTCTTGTAACTATTGGGGATTGATTTGTTTTAGTCCTTTAACTTCTTTATGTCAAAGTTTCTGTCCTTAAAGATTTCGCTTTCAGTAAAAAAATGTAATTTCAAAAGCGCCCTTATTTTAGGGGTAAAAAGAGAAAACACAACTCTTGTAACTTTAACTGGCATTAGAAATTTTTGGCATTTAAGAGCATTTTGAGAATAATTCATTGTTGACCTATCATTTTCCTTAAAATTGAACAAACTTAAACCTTATAGTATTAAAATTGAAGGAATTAAATTTTGTCGGACTAAGACTCGAATATAATGGGGATAAAATGTGTTACCCCTTCTACTTGCAGGACCAGTATTGCTTGCCCTTAATGTGTTTGTTTGTTAATAATCAAGAATGTTGAAATTGCACACTTCACCAGTATAAGGATTTACACTTAAAACTATAGACCATGTGACTTGTGAATGTTGTAGTGACAAAATGGTAGAGCAGGCCGCTGGTGGAAAAACTGTGTCTGAAATCTTCAAGTCACATGGGGAGAAATTTTTCAGAGATAACGAGGTATCAAGCCTAACAACAAAATGGTTTATTTTTTCAGTGTTTTTTGAGTAGTTAAAAAGGATGCAAATTTTCCGCGCGAG